GAGAATCTCATCAGGTACGACGAAAAATCTCCGCCTTCATATTGTGACGTATCACGTAATATAAATTCAAATAAATTTAAGATAAAAATTTCAAGATTAAAACTTTTCCATGATTTATATATTGAGATACAAATAATAAATCGTTAACATATAACACGTAAATAATGCACAAATTTTCAAGGAATGCAAATATGATCAATGGCTGCTACAGTTCAATATTATTTGTGACCGTATTATTCGTTACTTTTCAAGTGTGTTTCATGTGCCTTCAGATTATTACGGTATGTAGGAATACTAATGTGTGTGTTCCTTCTCGTGTTATAAAACGATTGAATTAATTGAATATTTGAATAAATAAATAATATAAATATATTTAAATATAAATTTAATTTTATTTAATAAATATAGAATTAATGACACCATCTCATTAGATAACAGCATAATATATTGTATTATATTGATGATGTGCAACTATTTAAATTTATTATTTCCAGATGGTAACAGATGATTCAAAAGTGCCTATTGTTAAAGTGATTGCTTTCTTCTTTTATGTCACCTATATGTTGACGAATTTTTTTACATACTGCTATGCAGCTGAAAAACTTATAGCAGAGGTAAAAAAAATTTGTACATTAATGTAATCTATGCAAAAAATCATCAAATAATTTTCAGAGCACCAATATGGCGTACGGTGCGTATGAATGCAAGTGGTATGATTTACCGTCAAAAAATGCAAAAGATTTAATGTTTATTGTATATCGATCTACGATTCCCGTTAGAATGACAGCTGGAAAATTCGGGACCTTTTCGTTAGAGATGTTCGGAACAGTAAGATATATACATATACATATATATATATATATATATATATATATATATATATATATACACACAAAATACTTTATGCAATCATTTGTGATATGTATCAAAATATAATTTTATAATTATATATTTTGTATTCTCTGCTCAGGTTATTAAAGCATCAATGGGATACTTATCTGCAATAATAACAATAAGAGATAAAAATTAGAAAAAACGATATACTGGAAGGTACACCGGAATATTGGTAGAAATGGTAACGAATTTTAATTTCATCACTACGATATCAATTTTCAAATAATGGAATAAATAATTTATATGCACTGCCTGTAACATCACTCTTAAATTGAAAAAATATACATTTTTGCGCAACATGTCAAACTATTAATCGACTATTAGCCGAACTATTCACCTGCTATTTAATCATAAGAATTAAATTAAGGATACATATTCTGAAATTAAATGTTGTGAAGATAAAAGTCGTCAATTTTATTGCAATTATATGAACCTTTATTAAGCAATTAAATAAATTGATTTTTGCTTATCATGGTAGCAATTTATGATAATTATAACTTACATCAGCAATTTAAACAAACTACTAAAGCCAAAGCATACTATTATAGTAAATTTTAATTAATAATTATAGTCTTGGTACAATATAAAGTAGCCTTAATTTATTAAATAATATTGATTATTTATATTTATTTAGAATATACAATAAAATTCTGAAATTTCAAAAATTTCAAGATTAAAATCAAACTTAAATGTAGATATGTAAAAATTTTATTATGTAGATAAAAAAATGTCAGTTTACTTTAAAAATTCGAAGATTTTAACATTAAAATTATAATATAAGTGTATTAACAGTTATAATAATAAGTGTTAATAAATAAGAAATTTATAATTTTTCAAGGAATACAAAAACAGTTAATTACTTTTTTAGTTATAAAGGCACAGTGCACAGTGTTATTTGTGCACATATTAATCGCTACTTTTCAGTTGTATTTTGTATCTTTCAAATTTTTACGGTAAGTGAGATGTTTGTTTTATTTTTTTGTATAGTTTATGCAACAAAAAATTGATTATATATTGAATATTTTAATTTTTTAATTTAATAATGATATCTTATCGTTATAGCTTTAATAAATAAAATTAAAATGTTATGATAAAGTTGACTATTATAAACAATTATTGACTTCAGAAAAGAATACGTATTATTTCCAGATATGAAATTTTATAACAAATCATATTGTACGAGCTGGTGGCGCAGCAGTAGCGCGCTAGATCAGTAGTATCAATAACAAATCAAATTGCTATGTATATTAAAATAGCATTTCTTTTCTTTTATTGTTTTTGTATATTTATTGTCACTCTGTTGAATGATTTTTTAATAAAAGTAAAGTAGTTATGTCATGTTATATTAAACGTTATTTCTCTATGCAAAACAAAAATGTAATTTTTAAAGTGCCAATACGGCGTACATTATTATATATGTATTATATAATAATATTGTGTACAAAAATAATATTTTCCAGCATTATCGATGAAAATAAAATAAAAAATTTATTTCTCATTTATGTTCTATGCAAATAAAGAAAACACCTATCTATTGTTGACAATAGATTAGAGAAAATAATATTGGAATGATACTAAATTAATTGTAAATATTTAATCTTTATGATATTCGATTAATGTCAATAGCATAATAAATACATGCCGCTCGTGTTACTATATTGATTGTTAATCAATCAAGTCCGAAAGTCCGAAAGGGTTTGCAGAATTACTCACAGATGGTAGTGGTTGAATCCTTTGTGCACTGAGCAAGCGCAAAAATAATGGTTCGGTATAAATGTGAAAAGCGATTCAGTCAAACGTTAATTTTTGCGCCGTGAACATCAATGAATGTCAATAAAGGTAGAATGCTTAAAAAAAAAATAGTAAAAACGTTCACATGATATTCTATTAAAAACAAAACGTCGTGCAAAACACTTGTATGATGTAATGCAGTATATAAAAATCAAGTTTCAGATCATACATGAATTAATAACTTTATGACTTAAAACTTTTTATTTCAATCTGAATTCTATTGAAAAGATTAGTTATTATTAAATTAACTGCTTGTGTGATAACGAATTAATAAAATGTTTATATTACCAAATTTGCTTTATATAAAATATTATCATGTAAATTGCTATTTATGCTCAGTTTTTGATATTTTCTAAATTTTCTTCTAGTTATGCTGATTTATCTTATGTTATTTTATTTTATTTTTATTTCAAGAACAAGAAGATATCTCTTCCGAAAAGCAAAATATAATTAAAACAGTAACTATATTTATTGCAATAAAATTTTGACAAAAGAGATCTTGTAAAGAGAGATTTGATACTCAGATAATGTAACTGTAGACAAATAATAAATAGTTCGATTGAAGAATTATTATCACTCGTTTTTAGATTTATGATTTTTGAACAAAATCATTCTACATTAGAAGAATATTATTTGTTCTATTCATTGTTACTCACTGTTTTAATATTTATCGCTATATGCACAAGCAGCAAAGTGTTAATTATATAACAAATGCACAATAAATAATATAAATAATATAAATAATATAAATAATATAAATAATAAAAAAGAAGTGAATTCTTCTATGAATGTTGCAATAAACTACTTTACTAAATATAAAAAATTAAATAGCTTTCAATTAGCTTCGCTAATAAGAATAATTACTTTTAGCGAGAGAAGAAGTTAAAAAATAATTAAATTAATCAATATTTAATTTAATTTAACGTTAAGTAATGATATTTATTTTAAAATTTGACTTTATTAGATTTAAATTACGTGTTCACCCTGACTAACCAATGGCTATGGGTGTTTGGCATATGGCCCGATCCACGTATTCCTTTGAGTGAATTTCGTCGACCAAATATAAGATTCATTATTGTAACGTGTACTGTGAGCCTATACGTAACCTGCCCCCAAATGATGAATGTGATTCGTGCTTGGGGTGACGTGACTCGGATGGTGGAAAATTTTGCCTCCGCGAATTTCAGTTTGCTGGCAGTGTGTAAATTGATCGTTACCTGGTATTATGGCGAAAGTAAGTTCACTTTTCGCGCCAATGTAAATATCGGATAGATTTATTTTTACCACCTATGATATAAATGTCAAAATTATATCCCTCTTATTTAAAGCACAAAATATTTATGCCCAGATTCGATAATCTTTTTATAAAGAAATTTGCTTGCTTCGGTAATTTATATTCGTATTGATACATTGTGTTCGATCTGAAAGCACTGCGGCCGCTGATGGCATCGATCATGACCGATTGGATGACTTCGAACGTTTGGGAACGAAATACTATGTTGAAGATTGCGAGACATGGCAGAAGCTTGACCATAAGATGTTGCATGGCCGCGATGGGCACAGTTGTATTTTACCTTTCTTTCCACTTGCTGAGATTTTTTACAAATATACACCAGCCTCGACGGCACCTCGTCTACCGATTGGAAAACATTCAAAAGAGGCCGGCCTACGAAATCACCTTTTTTATTCAACTTTCTGGCGGAACATATTCAGTTCTCGCTAATTACGCCATTGACAGCTTTGTCTCGATACTCGTGCTGCATGTGTGCGCGCAACTGATTAATCTGCAGACGACACTGAACAATCTGGTCGATGAATTGGCCAGCAAATCTATATCTTCCTCGGGATTTAGGAAAGGTTTAGCTGCGATCGCTGAACGACACGAGCATCTCATCGGGTATGTTGAAAAATCTCCGGCGCGCATTATTTGATTCTTGAAGTATTTTTAACCATTCTTTGAAGTAATAACAGACTATTTTTGAGAAAATATTTAAAAATAAAATCTCCCTAAACACTCCCCCTCTCTTGTATCATACAACAAGAAATGTACACTACGTATTATATAAAAATATTTGTCAATTTTTGATCAATTTTTTGGTGAAAATATATGCTGCTTTTGAGTAGCAACAGGAAATTTGAGACTAATAGATTTAAAAGTAAACAAAAAAAATGAATATAAAAACGTGAATTGAACAATAAAAAATACAAAATTGAATCATAAATTTTGATAAATTCAAAATAAAAATTCTATAATAAGTTAAATCCTAAAAATCCTAAAGATTCATATTGAAATTCAATTATAAATCATTAAAGTGAAGTGAATCGTTAACGAATAATGCACATATTCTTAATGTTTTAATTTAATAATGTACACATTTTTAAGGAATGTGAAGACAATCGACGGCTGTTATAGCTCAGTGTTATTTGTGTATATGTTAGCTGCTACTTTTCAGATGTGTGTTATAACTTTTCAGGTTTTTACAGTAAGTGAGATCATGCACTTATAAACATTTCTTTCTGCGTCTTTTATTAAAAAATAAAGAACTAAATATTGGGTCATCCAGAAGGTTCTGCAGTTTTCTCACATCTGCGCGGATACCAGTTTGAATTTTGCGCTAATAATGAATGAGGAAGTTCAGACTTCAAATTGATAAAAAAGAGCAGTCTTTTGTTTAAACATTGCATCCATCCAATAATGGCATATGTTCAGTATATTCGATTCTATAGTATCCTAAAGATGAAGAATCAGAAACAATATTTTTTTGAAATATTATGCTTTTGTACTTCAGAAAGGGCAAGAATACGCATGCGTAAAATTTATCAAATCTACGGACAAAGTTTCTGATGATACAATTCAGAGCTGGTTTGTGAAATTTCAATAAGGTAATTTTACTCTTAAAGACAATTTGGCGTGATTTGAGTATTCCTGCACTGTGGATGATGATCTACTGGAGCAAGCATTGCCGAAAAATCTCGTTATACAGTACAAGAACTGGAAAAATTATAAATTGCACAAACCATACATATATACCATGTGAGATCACTTGAACCTGTCCCCATAAGTGAAAACCGCAGAACTTTCTGAATGACCCAATATATGAAATTTAGTATTAATATTTTTTCATTATATAACGTAATATATTGCATAAGATTTGCACTGCGCATTGTTTTATGTAACAGTTAGATGTTATTTCCAGATAATATCAGATAATTTGAAAATGCCTGTAGTCAGAATGATTTTTCTCTCATTTTACATCGCCACTGTGTTGATGAATATGTATTCATACTGCTACTCAGCTGAAAGACTAATGATAGAGGTAATGAGATAATAATATACATTAATGCGACCGGATCGTGTGCAAACTAATAAATAATCGTGTGCGCTATATAAATAAAAGACAACAATTTTTATTTTTTATATAGAGTAAAAGTTTTTACTTTTTTCTTACTTTTCATGAAAAATGAGAAATGAAGCGAATTAGTTTTCAAAAAATTTATAATTAACTCATTGTACGAAAAGAAAACCTGATCAAAATTTTACTATTTTCAGAGCACCAAGATGTCGTACAGCGTGTATGAATGCAAATGGTATGACCTATCGTCGAAAGATGCAAAGAATTTAATGTTTATTATATATCGATCTACGATTCCTCTTAAATTAACGGCTGGAAAATTCGGAATCTTTTCTTTGCAGATGTTTGGAATGGTAAGATAAGTCTTATATGAGAAAAAATACATTGCTTTGTCTATAAGTGACTTGTCTATACTAACGTATATATGCGTTAGTAATGTAAAGAATCTTTATATACAGGGTGTCTCAGAATAGGTGTATGACCGCTCATGGATAGATAGAATGGACTAAACTGAATCGAAAAGTCCTCTACCATTTTGCAAAATTCGCAATATTTAATGAGATATTAATTTTTTAACATCGCCGAATGAGCGAGTATCTGTTCGTCGAGTCCGGCCCACCGCCAATACTAGCGCGCGATCGTCCATGAGCCATTCGAACGCACAGCCATTTTCGCTGTAAACAATTCCCCGCTCTTCCCCGCTCACCGCGTCTCGCGCTAGGCAACCGCGCTCGACGGACGGTCGCGCGCTAGTATTGGCGGTGGGCCGGACTCGCCGAACGAATACTCGCTCATTCGGCGATATTCAAAAATTAATATCTCGTTAAATATTGCGAATTTTGCAAAATGGTAGAGGACTTTTCAATTCAGTTTAGTCCATTCTATCTACCCATGAGCGGTCATACACCTATTCTGAGACACCCTGTATATACACATATATATAACTGATTTTTTTTTAATCAGACAAAATTCGCGATTTTATTGAAATCTCATTTTTTAAACAATAGAGCTTTTTAAATATATAATAAATAAAAGCAAAAATGTAAGATCATATTGGAAAGAATATATAACTCCTTTGTACAAAGTATCATTAGCTCAGCATTAGCGTACAAGTCTGAAGTGCTAGGAATCTCAGGTTTGAATCTTGAATATCTCGATGTATTTTCAAAAATTATAAACCTGCGTATAAATCGTAATTAGTAATAATCAAAAACATGCGAAACAAATTAAACTCTACAAATAATAATATGTAATTATAAAATTAAAAACAATTTTTTTGTTAAAATATTATAGCAACTTACATGGAGTATTCGTCTATACTACTACTAAGTATTCGTCACTACTAATACTAAGTATTCGTCAATACTAAGTATTGGCCAAAAAAGTATTAACCAATTTAGTATTGGCTAATACTAAGTATTGAAATCTTAATATTTATTTTCCGTAAGGGTTGTTGTTAGAAATTATTTCTTTATGCTGATATAAGTTTTTTAAAAAAATATCCACTTATTTCTTAAAAACTACAATAGGGTAACTGTCCCAATTACTGCCGGTTTAAGCATATAATGACAATTAATATGCTTATTTTGAAGCTTTTTAAATGCGTAATAGGTACTATTTCTTAATATTATTTAAGTACAAACTTTAATATACATAAAATAAAAGTAACAAACTAAAAAATCAATTAATTATTTATATATAATAAAATAAATAAAATATAAGGTTTTGTACCTATTACTGCCAGTCGATTTCCAAATACTGCCCCCCCAATTACTGTCGCACGTACCAAATATCGCCTCCCCATTTAATGCCCGTGTACCGAATGCTACCTCCCCATTTAATGCCCATTTGCTGCAATCTGCATCAAAACTTTAAGAATACAATTGCACAATGTTTTTTTAACATTCCAAATATAGATTCTAATTAC